CATTATTTAGGGTTTAGTGGCTCCAAGAGGATTCCTGAAACAAGTATTTTCGGATCAAAGTATACGTGCACGGACGCTGAGGGTAGAGTCTCGGCTGCTAGGCTTTTGTAATCGGAGTTTCTATACCATCATTATTTGGACTACTGCAGGTTGTGTGTTAGTGCTTCTCTCGGGTTTGGGGCTGGAGGCTGTGGATTAGTTTCTTGTGTCTGAACTCGTAGGTTTAGTAAAGTAGGATTAAGATAGACATGCCCGGTTGACAGGATTGGTTTTTTGATGTTTAGTACTGTTGCAACTGTTGTGGTTTAAGATTGTTCAGGTATTCCAGGGTCTACCATGCGCAGTACGGCCCTTCACCTTCAGGCTGATTAGATAACCCGCAGCGGGTGGGGGTGGGGGTGGGGAAACTGCCCCCTACTTAGTGGTTCATGGGACTTTGTAACTCTGGTTATAAATAAGGTAACTATACTTATAATTACTTACAACCCCAATTAAGGTACTTATAACTGTACTTACTAAGTCCCATGAACCTCCAAGTACTCTCCAAGAGCGGTGGTGCGGGCGGGGAGGGGCGGGACCGACATATCCCCGGATGGAGCCCCATTTTGGTGGGTTCGGTTGGGGAGAAGGAACCAAAAGCCGCTTGTAAAATGTCCAAGACAAAAAGTTCAGAGGACAAGTGGGAACTAGTAAATCTACATTCGGGGAAGTTTCCACGTAAGATCTACTCAATCAGTTCGGGATGCTCTGCTTTGTTGTCCCTGCTGCCAAGAAGGTAAGACTGAGACTTCTGCGAGTTTCGGATTTGTTTTGCATTATCTGCATGAATGCAATCCATGTGTGCCTGTGCGTACTCCACACAAGACCGATTGTTCCGTGTTGATTTGTGGTACAGGGTCGAGGGGGCGTTAGAGTGGTGGGATTCGCATCTATGTGCAGTATTTCTTCACAAGTGCTGAGCCAAAGGGTTTCTGTATCTGCACTGTGCATACTTAGGCCTGAACGGGGTACATGCCGGCCAAAGTTTCTCATGTACGCTCTGGTAAGCCCGAACCCTACACCCTACACCCTAAACCCTAAACCCTAAACCCTAAACCCTACACCTCTCTTCACCCAGAATGCCCGAGTCTGGCAGGCAGAAGGTGTCTTCCCAGGCAGATGTCCAATCCCAGGGCCGCCAAAAGGCCGGCAAGTACAAGCTGGTTTGGTATAGTATACAGTAGAGGCACTAATAATTAGAATTGGGTTTTTGGGGCCCATTATACTATAATTATAACAAGGTTTAGGGTTTGGGTTTGGGAGTTGGAGCTTCGATCTGAGTTTTGGTGGAGGGCTTCGGTCGCTGAGTTTGAACGGAAGGATGGAGACGTACACAGACACTCGGGAGGATCCAAAAAGTAGATCCCTTAATGGGGGTTCCTATAAAGACCCTTTGGTATAGTATAGGGTCGCAAATTAGGGGTTCTACTTTCTAAATGTTTTTCGGGGGTCTGGGTAACGGGCAGCGCGGTGTAATTAGGGCTCGTGCTTGAAGGTATGGTTTAGGTATAGACCTCCATGGGTAAACACTCGATTCTTCGAAACCCGTCTGGCACTCGGGATCAGAGCCTGGAAGCCTAAACATATTTAGTGAAACTAGTCGTTTTAAGTTATACGTAAGACCCGGTATAAGGATTTAGCAGAGTAAGCCCTAAACCCTAAACCCCAAAAGCCTCTTGGCCAAATTCAGAAGACCCCTAAATTATGCTGCACGTCCCAGACCGCTCCTCAAACTCAAGAAACCCAGAGCTCCGGCTACAATAGGGATAGTAGGGTTTCGGGTTTGGGGTTTAGGATTAACAGTTACCAACTGTAGTAGAATTATGTAACCTAGAAACTCAATGCCAAATTCCTGAACCCTCATATCAGATTCACGAAACCTTAAGCTAAGCCCAAATAGCCCCGAACCCTAAAAACCCTAAACCCCCAAACCCTAAAACCCTGAACCCTAAAACCCTAAACCCCCAAACCCTAAAACCCTAAAGCCCTAAAGCCCTAGACCCCTAAGCCCCAAAAAGCCCCAGCCAAGTCAGGAGCTGCAGAAGCGCGTGGAGGAGCTCGAGGCGGAGCTCAAAGGTGCCCACGGTTTAGGGTTAAGGGCTTAGGGGTTTAGGGTTTAGGGCTTTGCGGTTTAGGGCTTAGGGTTTAGGGTTTAGGGCTTAGGGCTTAGGGCTTTGGGTTCAGGGTTTAGGGTTTAGGGTTTAGGGCCCTAAACCCTAAACCCTAAACCCTAACCGCGGAGCTCACAGGTGCGCAGGCGAAAGAGCACGCCGAGAAGGCTCGGGGCTCTGGCTCGGGGCTCTGGGTCCGAGGGTTTCGGGTTCAGTGGTTTTTGGGCTCCTTAAAGAAATCGATGGGTTTTAGGGTTTAGGGTTTCTTGGTTTTGGGTTTCAGGGTTTTGGGTTTTGGGTTTTAGGGTTTAGGGCTTTACGGTTTAAGGTTTTTAGGGTTTAGGTTTCAGGGCTCCTCAGTTCCGATGGAATCTATCAGGGTTTTTGGGAGGGGTCCTCTTGGGTTTTGGGGATTTGAGGCTCTTCGAAGCTTGGGTCTAGGAGATTTTCAGGTGGGTAGTTACCGCTATAGGAGCCTTATAGAAAGTCTATATACCTTATGGAAGCCTTGTAGAAGCCCTACAAAAGCCTCAACTACCCACCTGTAGTTTCCTCGAACTAAACCCTAAACCCTCAACCCTATAGATCCTTTTAAAAGGCCTTGTTTAAGGGACGCTTTAAGGACCCCTAAATACCCTCAACTCCCCGCCTGTAGTTTCCTTTAATTGGCGTCCGGGGGGATGTCGGGGCTTTGGGGGCTGCAGGTTTGGGGACCGGCAAACCAGGGATCCGGCCATGGTAGGCTTCTTTGGTTGCAAGCTTAGGGTTTAGGGTAGTTTAGGGTTTAGGGTAAGTTAGGGTTTAGGGTTGAGGGTGGTTTAGGGTTTGGGGTTGTTTAGGGTTCAGGGTTTTTTTTTTCAGGATTTGATTCTAGTTGTTTCAATCCCCGAACCTTCGCTGCTTGCACTGACCATTGTCATATTGTCGTGAATGTCTTGCAGTCGTGCCGGAATTGTCTCGGTCGTGGTCTTGCACGTCGTGGTCACCTCAGGATCATCATCATCATCATCATCATCAGCATCATCATCAGACACCCAATCAGACACCATGGAATCCTTTTGGAGCCTTCCCGTGCACGGCACCTAAACACGGCAAACTCCTGGTTAAAGTTTGCTAACATCACAACCAATGGCAAGCCCACAGTGCATCCTCTTAAGCCTTCTTAGGCCCCGTGAACGCTCCATCTTGAATCCATGATTTCCCATTAAAATTGGTAGAGCGCAGCTGTGCTATAATATACCGTGCCCCTGAACCCATGCTAACGATTAACGCCCCTATCCCTAAATGAACCCTATACCTCCAGGCAGCAGCACAGAACAAACAGCACGACGAAGCCATTGCCTGGAGCCCCAGTGGACGGATGTAAAGAACTTGGTGAAAATAATCACTGTAGGAACCGTATCCCTTTACAGCCGCTACAAAATGATAGCAAGATGTACCCCGAAAACCCAATGTCATTCGATACTTAGGGCCCTGTTTCTCAACCCTTTTGTAGTAAGCCTTTTTTAGAACCCTTTAAAGAAATCCTTGCAGGCCCCTATATGGGTGTATGGGGCTCTGCGCATTTGCGGGTGCTGTGGGTTTGGTCTGCGCGTGTTTGGGGTTTAGAGTCGGAGTTGTTGTTCTTCAGCCTTTAAAGTGTAATGATGAATGATGAATGCTTCTGGGATCACAACTGACTACAAGTCAGGATCGGGGGTTAGGACTCTGTTGCCGAGATTGATACTAAGATCATGCTATCCATCGTACCACCGGCTTGCTTGTTGACATACCTTTATACCATGTTCTGTACGAGTAATCATTAGCACGTGTCGGGCTTGCAGCTCAGTTTCAACTTGTGAAGAGTTCTGGTTCAGCATTGGGCTGCTCACGCATGAAGACTCTGCTTGTGCTTAGGCCTTTGGCTTTACAATCTTGTCGGGGTTGCTTGAGGGCTACATCCCTGAAGACTTATTCCCAAACCCTAACCCTTATAAAACCCTATGGACCGTATAAAACCCCAAGGACCCTATAAAACCCTAGACCCTAAAGCCTATAGAACCCAAGACCCCGAGCTCCCCTTGAAGCCCGGGAAGCTCCTCTTGAAGAACCTACCCTTTTAGCGTCTTATTCATCCTCGGTACAGTGGTAGCCTGTTTTAGGACTCTGCCTTGGCTTTGAAAGGCACTCCTAAGGTTTCGCAAGGAGTGTCTAGGACACAGAAGGCCAAACACGCCCAAGAACATGCCAAGAAGCAAGGGTCCCACGACCTGGTGGTTTACAGGCCTGCTGCCTAGCCTAAGGACAAGCGGGGTCGTTTCGTCATATGTCGGCGGTGTTTGTCTGTCACGCAGCACGAAGCACCAAGTGTCCTACATTTGCCCTCGTGAAGAGAGACTGAGGCGACTCAGGGAGATGCCTCTTGTACTTTTGTACGCATGCGCAAGCGCCAGCGGTGGTTGCGACGCAAAAACACTGCTGTTTCGGAAGGCCAGGGGTTCCTCAGGCACACTGGTCTTACGGCCGCTCAGGTTGATGAGCTTGTTGGCTGTAACGACCCGCTCACTGCGCGCCAGAAGGCATTGGCGGCCATGTCGGGCAAAGCTAAGGCCAAGGCCAACACGCGAGCGCCTCGACTTGGTCGTTCGACTCAAGGTGGTGGGCCTAAAACGAGAGCTGCCTCGCGCCTGTCGGTTGCTCAGTCTGCCAAGCTGCCCTTTCCCTTTTTTGAGTTCCCTTATTAAGACCAAATTAGTGGGAACAAGCCTACCCTTCTTATTAAGGGGCTTCTGTGGAACCCTAAACCCTGAACCCCAAATCCTCAATGTCTTCTCTGCGTTTGCCTTAAGAACCTAGGGATTAAGACGCGAGGCGAAAGCAGAACAAGAGAAGCTCCAGCTGAGCCAGCGGCTGGAGGCGCGTCTTCGGGATCACTTGAAAGGCTTTAGTGAGTGATTAGGGTTCGGGGTTTAGGGTCCTTTAAACTTAGGAGACTTTAGGTGGTTTATACAGTGTTTTAACAAGAGTCTTTTTAACGGGCTTTAGGGTTTCCGGTTCCCTTTTAAGGGCTTTAAGGTTTTAAAGGGTGCTTACAAATGAGGGCTTTCAGGGCTCGGGATTTAGAGGATCCTCTTGGGCTCCTCCGGCCCCGTTTACACAAAGCAGGGCTTTCAGGTCTTTTTGGTTGTTAGGGTATTAAAGCGTGGTTACAAAGTAGGGCTTACAGGGCGTTGTAGGTTTTCTTGGGGATAGGGATCAATTAAAAAAT